GGTAGGCCGTGTCGAGCCGGAGAACACGATTGAACAGTCCTTCGGCATCCAGCATTTCTTTGGCCTCTTGGACAGCATCCAAATCTCCAGAAAGTGTTACGCTCTTGGGTGAGTTACTGGCAGCAACAGTGAGACGGTTGGCGAATTGATCAAGCGCACAAAAGTTGAGGCCTTCTTCATAGCCAAATCCAACAGCAATCATACCGCCCTTCTTTCCATCTTTGCCGATGGCGAGTTTCGTGTACACCCCGCGGTAGTAAGCAATCTTGATTGCATCAACCTCGCTGATTTTGCCCGCCGCATAGGCCGAACCAATCTCACCACCTGAGTGACCGACGACCATGCTGAAAGTGATTCCTGCACTCCAGAGTACCTTGACAAGACCAACCTGAAGTGCCGCGCAGACAGGTAGTGAAATCTCAGCTTCTCCCAGCCGAGACGTCTTTGGTGGCTTCATGATCTCCTCTTTCAAAGACCACGCTGGTCCGTCGGGGAGCTGTGCCATTGCCTCTTCCATCATCTCAATGGCTTGTCTAAATAGCGCACTCTTCTCCATAAGGCCTTGACCCATACCTGCCCATTGTGCCCCTTGTCCAGTAAAAACACCCAAGATCTTGGGGCGTTTGAACTGATCAAACTCCGGAAGGGAGGATCGGGTGCCTATCTCCGCACCAGGAGTCGAACGGACTTTCGCAAGTTGTGTCCGGATCGCCTCGAGAGCGCCCGCTCTTGAGGTTCCAGGGATGGAGATCCGGACTGGTAAAGTGGAACGATGAGAGTTGAGTGTCATGGCCAGGCGTTGAATAGACACGTCGGTCCTCTCCAGGTACTCCTCATACCTCTCCAGCATGGCACCAAGGGCTGTTCCTGAGCTAGCTGAGAATAGTAGGGGGATAGGTGAAAAGTCATTCTCCGGTGTAACAATGGGTTCTGGGAGGTGTCGCAGGTGTTTTGGCTTTCCCCAGGGGCCATTGTCATGAATTTCGGGCACATAGCTTTCTACAACGGCGTGGCAATTAGTGCCTCCAGAGCCGAAACCGTTGACACTAGCCCGTAGCGGTGTGTCTGGAGGCAGTACAGGCCAGGCCTCCGGTGAAGTAGCCACTGAAAGGTACTTGAAAGAAGGCTTTACGCTGGGATTGAGGTTATGGAAATGTTGGTTGGGGGGAATGGTCCTATGCCGCATGGCTAAGACAGTCTTCAAAATCCCTGCGATACCGGCACCTATGTATCACCAACAGTTAGTTTCCCAGCATTCTTGAAGATGATGTGTTACTGCTTACATCCTTCGGTGTGACCAATGACGGTCTTGATTGACCCAACGACAAGCTTGGGTCTGTGGCTGTGGTCTTCTCCTGGTGGGAAGAACGTGGTGCCAATGGCGAATGCTTCTCTGGGATCTCCAGCTTGGGTACCAGTTCCTGGCAAGCACAAAGATGATTAGTTGCAAAACAATGAAAGTCCTTTTAATACCAATGACTCACCGTGTGCTTCGATGTATTGTGGGCGATCTTCTGCCCTTGAGAGGTCAAGCCCGGCATTTTTATACGCAGTCCTCATCAACGAGATTTGGGCCTCAGCACTCGGTAATGCGATCCCCTGTGTTCGACCATCCGAGTTGACACATGTTTCTCGCAGGAGTGCGTCGATTCGATCTCCATCTCGCAATGCCTGAGAGAGCGTCTTCATGAAGAAGACACAAACACCCTCACCTCGGGCATATCCATCAGCAGCTTGATCCCACATTTGGGAACGGCCAGTAGGCGAAAGCAGATGAAGACTTGTGGCAGCAAGGTAGCAATCCGCGTTGAGAATCACATTGGAGCCGCCCACGCAGGAGATTTTACATTCTCCAGCACGTAAGGCCTGGACACCAAGATGTACCGCTGCCAGACTTGACGAGCACGCCGTATCAACGCTAATAGAGGGGCCTTTCCAGTCGAAAAAGTAGGATAAACGATTGGACAAGAGGGCACGGGACGTTCCGGTAATCATGTACTTGGAGACATTCTCAATGTCTCTCAGCTGAGTATCTGTGTAATCGGCCGACATAGCGCCCATGTATGCTGAAGTTTCGCTGCCTCTCATTCCATTGAGTGTAAGCCCTGCATTTTCCATAGCTTCATACACTGTCTCAAGCAGGAGCCTCTGTTGCGGATCGATAGATTCGGCTTCGCGCGGGGCAATACTGAAGAATCCAGCGTCGAAATGTCGCGGATCTTCCTCAATAAAATACGCATTGCTTGCGTTGCTGGCACCGTGATGTTCACCATCGACATTGTAAAAGCCCTTGGCGTTAAATCGTGATTCGGAGGGAACTTCCCTCGTGAGATCCCGCGGCGAGTAGAGTAAATCCCATAATTTGGAAGGAGACGTCGAATCTCCGGGGAAGCGGCACCCGCTACCAATGATGGCAATGGGCTCTTTTGGTGAATGGGTGTAAACCATCGCGCGTGAGGTCGACTGTGATAGTATACAGGGTAGAGAAAATGAGTGTCGGGATGAATATGGTAAGGAGGGCTGTGTTTAGTAGCTAAACCTCACTAGGATGCAAGGCATCTACTTCCGATAAACCAAATTGATCCGTAAATACACCGTATACGGCTTTCTGTTCTTGCACGAGATCTTGGTCTACTAACATCGGATCCATGGATGGCATTCGGGTTGTGGGTCCATACCGTATTGCGATTGGTCGGACTGTTACTACCGAATTCGGTGTGGGGCTATAAACAAGGAACCGAATCCAACTAGATCACCATTGCTCTGTATTTACGGCGCACGCGCCTTTATGGGTTGCATCAATGTACCACTGAGGACGAGTCTCAGAATGAAGAGACACTCAGACATCGTTCTTGTGCTATCGCGATCGGTATCCATTGCCTAAATGTACTAGAATACCATCTCGAAACTCCCTCCAGGTCACCCATACCACAGAATCTCTTGCATTTTGAAAACAATCATGGCAACCATCCATAAGCTATTCAAGTCGCCCTTCTTCGATTTCGAGTTTCTTCGTCTACTGGCCATGGCGCCGCATGAAGGAGCCGAGATCGGAGAAGCGCTGGAAGCAGCAGCCAAGATCAAGGACCAAGATCCAGAGTCATGGTATAGTGCCCTTGTCGAAACTGGTAACAAGGCGGAAGCCATTGCAAAAGAAGCTGAGGCCTCTGGAGATCGGGTGGGTGCGCGCCGGGCGTATCTACGCTCGTCAAACTACCTTCGCGCAGCGCAGTTCATGCTCAATGAAGGTCCTATAGGACATGACAAAAGGGTCCTTCCAACAATTGAACGATCCATTGCCAATTTTAGAAAGGGCGTCCAGTATCGTGACGGAAAGACCATTTTCCTGGACATCCCGTACGAGGACGGAAAACGGTTGCCTGGTTATCTCTACCTGCCGTCAGCCTCAAGTCGCATTCCTGGTCGCAAGATCCCCATCCTGCTCAACTCCGGCGGCGGCGACTCTACTCAAGAGGAAATCTACTTTGTGAACCCAGCGTACGGGCCGGATGTAGGGTACGCAGTCCTCACTTTTGAGGGACCCGGTCAAGGAATCGTCCTCCGTCGCGACAAGTTACCCATGCGCCCTGACTGGGAAGCCGTCACCGGTCCCGTCCTGGATCACCTGTTTGAACTGGCTGCTCGTCATCCCGAACTTGACCTAGATCTCGACCACATTGCCGTCACGGGTGCGTCCATGGGTGGCTATTTTGCACTCCGGGCGGCCACAGACCCCCGCATCAAGGCATGCGTGAGCGTCGATGGATTTTACAGCTTGTCGAGCTTCGTGGGAGGCAGGATGCCGGCGCCGCTATTCAACGGCTTTATGAGCGGTTGGATTTCTGACGGCATGTTCAATGGAATACTCAGCTTTCTCAAGAAACTTGACTTTCAGGCCCGATGGGAGTTTAATCACTTGAAGTGGGCCACGGACTCCAAGACGGATGCGGATATCATGCGTAGCTTTGGCGACTACACATTGCAGAACGCCGACGGCACAGAATACTTGGCTGACGTGAAGTGCCCAACACTTGTGACGGGGGCAGGGGCAAGCTTCTACTTCAACCCAGCCACGACAACAGACAAGATCTACGAGTGCTTGACTAGTCTCAAAGACGGCATTGGCAAGGAGAAGTGGATCGCTACAGATGTAGCCTACGGAGGCCTCCAGGCCAAGATCGGTGCATTTGGATATTCGGCACAGAAAACTTTTGAGTGGCTGGACCAAAGATTTGAAATTGAGAGGGAGCCTTTGACGGCCAGCTCAAGGTTCGAAGACTTGGTCAGCAAGTTTTAAAATATATACTCTCTGAAACTCAAACCTTACCGTTGTTTTCCATTTATATATTTCTTTTACCCTCGGTAGTGTAATAGTTAAAATCACTGGGTTCAAAACTTCTAGTTTTATAATTGACAGAGTAATGATAGGAAATATATTTCTGCCTCCTAAACATCGCAAGACATACAGGCAACTTGCTACGACTAAAGTAAGTATAAGGTTGAGAATGTCCATAATATTCCATCATAATTTATAGCTATTTATCAAAATTAACATATGATAGTGAAGAGGGATCGCGAAGTGTACATAATTGACACTGAATGTATCTTACATACAGCCTGATACAGTAAAAAAGGTTAAGGCCAGTCCCGTGACAGTTTACAATTCAAAAAGAATTACTGTATGTTTATTATTCGTCATCTTCCTGCATCCCCCCTGGGGTCCGGTGGACCTGGGCAAGGCTACTTCCGCTATTATCTCCTGTAATGTTACGTTCTTCTCAGATATCAGAGCAACAATGCATCGTGGTTTGCATAAAATATTGGTCTATTTCCTTTTGACTTTTGACAAGTATCCATGTCTTAGCTTGACATTCCATACAAAAATAAAAGGAATGAGGTGATTCGTTGAATAAGGCCCCTTGCTGTACCCTGGTGCCCAGGTGGTAAGTTTCCACGGTACAGTTCGACTGCAGCCAAACTCTTCTAAAGAAGCTCACCTCTCAAACGAGGGAAGATAGGTAGTATGTTGCTACCAAGAAGCCAAAACTGTATTTTGGGGTCAACAAACATGGAACAGGCGGCAATATGAAGAACAGGATAGACCTACACCATACCAGCAATAAGAGACATAATCGTCCTTCTCGTCATAGCTGGAGAGGAAACCACCCAGACACCGCATACCCGCAGCAACGTATGCCAGAGTAACTATAGCCGGTGGTTTCCACAAGGCAATCAACCCTATGGTCCACGCGACCGTTATCGCGGCCAGTGACCAGCGAGCTACAGGCTGGGACAGCAGTAGCGGTATTGTTTTGCGGCCCCGTGTGGTATCAGCGGAGCGATCACGGAAATCCTGAGCATGGCCCTATACAAGTGAGACATTATTAGCATGTAATTGCCTCTGGTGGGAACAGAATTGAGCAAAAGAACGCACAGTAGTGGCAAAAATTGCAGCTATCATCAGTACTGCGATGGCTTTCAGTCCATGTAACTCTTTGCCGCCATCTTGAAAACACTATCTGTTAGCATGTAATTTCGCAAAACCCTAAGGTTTGGCAGAGGTAATACCAAGAATTATCGTTGTCCCCCAACAATAGCAGCCGAGACCGATAGCTCCGATAAGATTCTTGACTACCGGGATAGCTGCCAGACCACCCTCGTTGTATACCACTATGGCAATCGAATAGATTAAAGTGCATCCGATCGTGTTTGTGTGTATGGCCGCAATCCACATAAATAGGAAGAGGACATGATAGAGCATGGTAGCGTGTTCTGGGGTTATCCTGCCAGAGGGCAAGGGTCGATGCGGCTTTGCTATGCTATCCTCTTCTATACCATCAATCTGAAATATGGTAAGCATTCCTTGTCGTTATCATCTTGTTTGTCGTTACGTGGGTATAACTAACCTGGTTTTTCACCTGCTGATGTCAACATTTGATCGCCCTCGCTTAAAAAAGAAAGCCTCTAGACGCACCTGGAACGTGAGAAGATGTAATTGATTCCACAGAAACCCCTTTGTAATCAAGTAAAAGCTACATGGTCCGGCAAGCACAAGGCCCACGGCTATCTGCTCTCAGTGTTAGTAAGTGGCATTTCTTGTGCGTGGATCGAGAATTAGCAACGGCACATACAGAAGGTAAAGCTGCCGCTGGAATATCGGACTTTCCGAACAGATATAAAGTCTTCAAAAAGGAGACGGGTATTTTTCCCAGTTTTAACACACCTTCCATATCTGCTGGAAAGTAAGGACGTTATAACGGCTGCTGATATTGATGGTGTCACAGAATTGGTGCCCGGTGAATTAATTTTATCTGCAACAGTGGATGGCTTAATAGGTCAATGTACAACGATAAGCCTATCATAAATCCATTTTCGGAAGGATTTAAGAGTTGCGACATTTGAACAGTCTGACTATGGCTGTGCCGTTTAGCCGTACGCGGCCATCACAGTAAAGTCGTGAGTACGGATGGCCCTAGCTAACAGATGGTTGCTAAAAGGATAATCGTTTCCTAGTTTAGGATATTATGCCGTCAAAAGTGCCCGAATACATCCGACTATTTTGCAAGTTGGACGGGGACATAAGCTCAGAGTATTGCATTCACTTGACATGGACGGAGATAGGAAATCGTCTAAATGAGACAGTCTCGCAGCCCCATTGCAGCCAAGGAAGACTGATTCGTAGTGAAGAAATTCACCTACGTCACTTTCACATTCTAATTTACTCCTCGTTTTTTTGGTTGGGAATCCACAGTAAGGCTAACTCCGAACCAGCTGTACGGGCGTTAGGAGACTGAGTAAGATATGGGCCTAAACCTATCGGTAGTCGGATGGCCGAAAGTCGACTATTTGGTTTGTAAACAGGCTACCCTAGCGTTTGAGGAGATCAAACGGTTGAAAGGACCCCTGTCCGTGATGAAAAGGGAGGGAACGCTCTCTAAGTGCGTAACCGAATGTGTGCGGAATTCGGATGTGCCGTCCATGTAATCGCCTGACTCAAATAATACTGGCAGACCCGAAACGTAGACTTGACAAGCCAAATCCCTATTCTTGACTTAGATCACACAATATGACCCGCGGACTATCCACCCTTCAGCTTAGCTGCGTGGCATTGGTGGCCTTCATAGCTGTGCTGGCGTTCAGCAAGCGAAGAAAGCATCTCAAATGGAAGGTCCCTCCTGGACCAAAGCCATTGCCTGTTATTGGCAACTTCTTCGATCTCCCCGCCAAAGGACAGCCCGAGTATCAGCACTGGTTCAAGCACAAAGATGCCTACGGTCCCGTCAGCTCGATCAATGTTATGGGGACGACACTTGTCATATTCCATGACAAAGACGCTGCCCACGCTGTCATGGGGAAGAAGGCCCAAAAGACATCGGCAAGACCTCAGCTCAACTTTGCTCAGCTATGTGGGTTCGAGAACTTTCTCATCACACATCAGTACGATGATAAGTACCGCCTGCACCGGAAGATGGTTCACCAGGAAATTGGGACTAAAGGGCTCTCTGCTGGTTTCCGCCCCATCCAAGAGCAGGAATCTATTCGTTTCATCATTCAGACGTTCAATCAGCCTGACAAAATCTTGCATCACTTGAAAACGTAAGAGCCTCTTAAGCCATGGCGCTTGTTGTATATACATTGTCTAACGGTTTCTTAGTTTGGCAGCAGCCATCGTTCTGAGCATTAACTACGGTTACACGATTGAGCGAGACAGCCCCGATCCACTGGTCGAGCTGATTGAGCACGCCATGGAGAACTTGTCCCAGGCATTCGTACCACTTTCTTGGGCAATTGACTCTGTGCCTGCTATCAAGTATCTCCCTGACTGGTTCCCTGGAATGTCGTATAGGAAGACCGCGCAGGAATGGAAGGCCGTCAACGAGGCCGCTGCCGAACTCCCCTATGACTTTGTCAAGCGCCAGATGGCACACAAAGCCCATCGTCCTTCGTATGTCTCAAATCTTCTCGAAAAGAACATGGCCAAGTCGAACCGTAATGATATCAGTTTGACTGCGGAAGACGAAGAGGCTATCAAATGGACTGCAGTCAGCCTCTATGCTGCAGGATCTGACAGCACCGTCGCCATCATCCACAGCGTTATCTGTGCTCTTGTCATATTCCCTGATGTTGTAACAAGGGCACAGGACGAGATCGACCGAGTTGTCGGTTCCGATCGGCTCCCCAACTTTGACGACAGAATCAACCTGCCTTATATTGACGGTATTATCAAGGAAGCCTGGCGATGGAATCCTGTAGGACCCATGGGCTTGGCGCACAAGTCGGAGGAAGATATTGTACACGGGGAATACTTTATCCCTAAAGGCTCTTATCTCCTTCCTTCTCTATGGTGGTTCTTGAACGACCCCAAAGATTACCCAGAGCCCCGAGTCTTCAAACCAGAGCGTTATATGGAGCCATTCAACAACCCTGATCCGAGTGAACTGGCTTTCGGTTATGGTCGAAGATCTTGTGCCGGTCGCTTCTTTGCAGATGCAAGTGTCTACATTACTGTGGTCCAGCTGCTGGCAGCTTTCAACGTTCGCAAGGCTAAGGATTCCCAAGGCAACGAGATTCCTGTCACTCTCGAGGCTATCCCGGGCATGGTCAATCGCCCCGCTCCCTTTGAGTTCAAGGTAGAGCCTCGCAGTCAGCATCACATCAATCTTCTTCGCCGTATCGAGTCTGAGCAGATACCTGAGCTTAGCCATGCGAGCCTTCTCAGAGGGAGTACAGTCTGAGCGCCAAACGCACAGATAAATGGGTGAATTTGAATATATTATAAGCAGGAGAGTTACAAATTGTTTTGGTTGGTGATTCAATGCAGCTCAGCGCTCACAATTAGTTACATTAGTTTTACAAAAAATTGGAGTACTCGGTGTATGTTTATATGCCCAGCAGATACTTCTTACTGTCATACTTCAGCCGACTGCAAGACGTAGGTTCTTGTGAGAGCGCTCATGGTTCATATTCCAGGCAGGCAGATTGTTTTCTAAATCTTTATCTGCCATGGAAGTCCAATGTAAACCTCCACCACTGACAATGACTGCCGCTAGATCGGCGGCCCCTGGTAGGTCTTCGGTAGTGGAGAATATCGGCGATCACCATGGATTCGGTATCATCTACCGAACGCAGGTGCAGAGTGAACACTCTCACAGCTGACAACATGTGCTAAGATGGCATTCAGTCCATTGACTCAGTAGCACAAATCAGCATTGGTTGTTAGGTCTTAATGCCATATTATCAGCCAAGAACCCTAAGCCACCAATAGTGGCAGCTCTTTCTTTGTCTTCATTCATTTCCTGAGTGCATCCGACCATCAATAATGGATTCGACGTCATCAACTCTTCTTTATCTACAAGATGAAGCTCATCGACGGAGTCTACAAGACCCGGAGCAGTTCTGGTCGCGCCAAGCCGAACGCCTTCACTGGCACAGGAAACCTGACACCGCACTCCGGACACTTCAGAAGAGTCTGCAAGGTGGCACCGTTCACCCGACCTGGGAATGGTTCCCCGGTGGTGAAATTTCAACTTGCTACAACTGCGTCGACAGACACGTCGCTGTGGGCAACGGACACGAACCTGCGATTTACTACGAAAGTCCGGTCACCAACACAAAGGAGACAATTACCTATAACACACTCCTTAGTAAGGTTGAGACGCTGGCGGGTGTGCTGAGAGAGAAAGGGGTTAAGAGGGGTGATGTGGTCATGTTGTATATGCCCATGATCCCGGCTGCCTTGGTTGGCATGCTTGCCGTCAATCGTTTAGGAGCAATCCACTCAGTTGTGTTCGGAGGATTCGCACCAAACGCTCTCGCTCAGCGAATTGAGGCTTGCAAACCTGATGTGTTTCTCACTGCATCATGCGGCATCGTCGGGAATAGGCCACCAATTGCATACCAACCACTCGTCGCGGAAGCGATGAAGCTTTCATGCCACAAGCCTTCACACATAATCGTATGGCAGCGCAACCAACTACATTGGAACTTCCAGAAGTGTTCAAATAGTTGGTGGAGGAACATATGGCGCTGGATAAAACAGGTCTTCTTCCGTTGCAGGACAAACACCGCAAAGGAATCATCGTGGCAGGAACTGATGACAAACGCCGGGTCACGGGGTATCACAGCCGACTGTGTCCCGGTGCAGAGCAATCAGCCGATCTATATCATGCATACCTCCGGTACGACTGGAGCACCAAAGGGTGTGTTGCGCAATTCAGGCGGTCACGCGGTTGGCCTACAATTCACCATCGATTATATTTTCAACATCACCGGCCCGGGACACGTTATGTTTGCGGCCTCAGATATTGGTTGGGTGGTCGGCCATTCTTACATCTTATACGCGCCATTGTTGGCCGGGGCCGCCACCGTTTTGTACGAAGGCAAGCCTATAGGAACGCCTGATGCGTCTGCCTTTTGGAGAGTTGTCGAGCAGTACAAGGTGAACACCATGTTTGCGACACCAACAGCACTGAGAGCCATCAAGCAAGATGACCCTAGCAATGCAAAATTGTCCGAGACTGGGGAGCGTGGAGGCTTGCGGTCTCTAGAAGCTTTGTTCCTCGCTGGCGAGCGGTCAGAGCCAACCCTAATCTCCATGTACCAAGAGCTGCTTGATAAGCACGGTGGAAACAAGGCACAAGTCATCGATAATTGGTGGTCAACCGAAGCCGGATCTCCGATCACCGGCCGAGCGATTGCGCCTCATACTGGGTTGAGGGATGAGGTTACTACAAGTCAAAAGCTCCCTCCAATTAAGCCAGGGAGTGCTGGAAAGCCTATGCCAGGTTTTGATGTTCGAGTCGTGGATGAGCAGGGTGAAGATGTACCAAAAGGGTCCATGGGAAACATTGTGCTAGGCCTACCTCTTGGGCCGACAGCATTCAGCACGCTGTGGTTGGACGAGGAGAGATTCTACAACAGCTATTTGAAAAGGTTTCAATCCCGGTTTCTGGATACTGGAGACGCGGGATGGATTGATCACGATGGATATGTTCATGTGATGAGTCGAAATGATGACGTGTTGAACGTTAGCGCGTATCGATTGTCAAGTGGTTAGTTCCATCCCTTTTTTGACACCCTCCCAGTTACTGATTTTATAACACATGTAGGAGCTATCGAAGAAGCTATCTCCTCACATCCCCAGGTCGCAGAATCGTGTGTGGTTGCTATCCCAGATGAACTCAAAGGTCAACTTCCATTCGCGTTTATCTCCCTCTCCGTGTCGGACCACCCAGGCTCTGCTACACCAGCAGCGAACGTCGCGAAAGAGATTCAATCACTGGTCAGGAGCCGGGTTGGAGCATTTGCCGCGTTGGGAGGCTTAGTACAGGGCAAAAATATGATACCGAAAACGAGGTCCGGTAAGACATTACGTCGTGTGCTTCGGGAGTTGGTGGAGAATGCGGTGTACGGTGACTTCGATCGGAGTGTTGAAGTACCGAGCACAATTGAGGACGCAACGGCTGTAGAAGTCGCGAGAGCCAAGATTCGGGAGTACTTCAACAAGAACACGGGTAAACATAAGGCGATTGAGGCAAGAGAGACGGTATGAGAATGGGCATATTTACAATCATAGAGAGCTAGTAGCCCAGAAGAATATGACCAATTAGCATATTTAGTGGACAAGCTATAATTCCTATATGATATGTGAAAATATCAAGCTCTTGTGCCAGAATGGTGGGGAATTCTCTGAGACCGTTTCTAGCCCGGTGATAATTTCTGGTGTCTCATAGGTCTTCCCCACGAGGATGGCTTCAGCCAATATGTGATGAAACTCGCGCTCGGAGACAGGCATGTAATCCAGGCCTCTTAAGGTAGAAATCACAGCCCCCGATCCCCCACTGCAATCAATATTTTGGATGAATCCAAGTCCTATGATAGGACCACAGTTGATCACCGAGGCAGGGAGGTTGCGAGCTCGTCTCTGGAACGCCAAGCCATTCATGAACTACGCAGTGATCAGTTTGTCATGACTTGAATCAAACCGAAGATTCGGGAAACTTACATTATTAGCAGCATCATAATTTGCCTGGAATGGCTGGCCAACCACAGCCGATATGGACGAGAACAACAAGAAAAACTCCAGATCATCATCAGAGAAGACCTCATCCAGGATCATGGACCCGTCCACCTTGGGTTTAAGGACTTCTTGTAGAACGTCGTACGTCAGATCGGAGAAGAAGCAATTAGACTGAACCATTGCACCGTTTGCCACACCTCCGATGGGAGGCATTGTCCCGAGAATGTGGTTGTGGAGATTAATCATGTCTTGCTTCTTTGTAACATCTGCTGCCTTAATCACAATATTGGCACCTGTCTTTTCTAGCTCTTCTTTCCAGTGTATGTGTTTGTTGGGATTTCTATTACCGTTAGTAGTCATTCCACATACAGTCTTTTCTGTACCTACCGGCTTGTGATCACAACGTGGCGCGCACCAGTCTCTACCATCCATCTGGTGATAGACTGGCCGATTTGCCCGCTAAGGCCAATAAGAACGTACGTTTTACTCGGCGAGAAAAGACCTGAGGGATTTCCAGCCTTCAATATCCGCCGTAAAGAGTTGAGATGATCGTTGCGCTTTTTGTCGAAAAGAACTCTCGGAATGAGGAGTCTGCTTCCTTGGACAGACAGCTCCGGTTCAACAGTCCACAGCATGCTTGAGCTATCATCTCGCATCCGAACACCCCCGATAAGCCGAAGGAAGCTCTCTGCCACAAGAGACTCGTTACCATATATCTTATCCAAATCAAGAAGCTGCAGAACCTTCTCCGGTCTTTCGGCTTGGACGGCTCGAACAAGTCCAATTGTACCGCTTTGGTGCGGGTTTTGATTTCTAGCGCCGTGGGTAACCCACAGGACTATCTTAGACTTGGCAAAGAGTTGATGTAGGCCGTGAAATGTATCACAACTGAGATTCTCCAGCACCGAATAATCCAACTCGGTGAGACTAAGGACAGCTTCCACTTGTTCAAAGTCCCGGCTGTTCAAGTCGGTCAGGGACCTAATCACGATGAGCTCCCCATCCCACACACATCTCAGTCTGCTCTCGATGATCTCTATAAATTGTTTGGTATTTTGCGACAGGCCACCTATAACAAGAAGTGTTCCTCTTCTAGCAAAGGCTGGTGTCGTCTCAAGCGGAGCTCTCAGAAAGCTGACCTGATCATCGAGGGCCTGCGACAATATGACAAAGGACGAATCCTCTTCTCGGTTCCTTTGCAATGAATCAACCCCAGAAAACCCAGCTCTCTGCAAATTTTGGTGTAATTCCTTGCAGGTAGTGTCTATTGCTTCCGGCGGAATGGCCTCCGTTACCGTCACCGTCATCAGTAGAAACCCTCCTTGTTTTAAGAAACCTCGCATAGATTTCAATGGAACAGACTCATCTCTGGAGGTATTCAGAGCAATTATCAAGTCGAAAGAGCTGAGATCAATTGGAGTGAGGGCGGTTGGCTCGTACAAAGTTCCAACACCCTTTGGAATGTCGAGGACTCCAAGCCTGATAGGCAAGTCGTGTGATATCGTCTCCCTCCTCATTCCTGCTATGGCCCCGTACGATGTACCCATAATTATGTATGAGTTCATAGCCTCCCCCAGATCCTGACACACGGCTTGTACCAAGCTGATAGGCGACGTTCCAATTCGGATAATGTTTAACTTTCGATAGCGATGTGAGATCTGTCTGGTTGCTGCCAGAATATACCTGTGACCGTCAGAGAGGCCCAACCCCTGGTGACAGGAGGTATTATTATTTTGCTCGAGCAATACTCCCGATAGGATGTCTTGCTGCCATGCCATTTTCAGGTACATGAGTTTGTCCTGCTTCTCAGCAGAGGAAATCGTGGGGCTCATGGTAAGACTTTCGAGGCGTATTTGTAACTCGCCGGTCTCTGAGCTGCGGACATCAATGTTCCCTTTGATCATGGATAACACTGCCTCATACCCTGGTTCAGATTCCTGTAGGTGTGCTTCGACGGTAACTGAGGCAGGCTTATCCAGGCCGGCAAATGAATGTGGAAACAACGTCAGACGACCGATGTTTGTAGTCGTAAAGCGCGTCCATAGTGCGCCATCTCGAGGGGCGGCGAAGGCAAGTAAAAGCGTCTGGAAGCAGGCCTCTAGCCTGGTAGGGTGAAGCAATCCTGATACACCTCCTGCTTCGTCGGTCGTATTTGTGACAGCGCAAGCATAATCCAGGCGCCTCTCAGCAGAAGTGAAAGCTCTGAAAGCTCCACGATAGCTCAGGCCTACTTCACTGAGTGAATCGTAAAATTGGTTGACGTTGACAGGTATCAATCCACACGGCTTGGGTTGTCTGGTGGAGGATAATATTGAGGGGTCGGTTGACTCGTGGTCTGCAAAGGTGACGCGTAATGTTCCCTTAGCTGCAGTGGCCATCTTATGATCGTGCGCTGCGACCTCATTGAGACTGAACTCTGCCTGAATGCAGTCAATTCGCGCATTACCAGAGTCAATGAGGCTGGTGATACTGAGCGAGGTCTCAAGCTCCACTGAAGGTGCTCTTAGTACGATCGGCCGTCCTATGGTAACGCCCGAGAGCTCGATGATATCTGCTTGTCTGCCATTGCTGATATCCATCGCGGCCGCAAGGACCATGACGCAAACCATAGCTGCTGGGATAACGGGCTCATTCTGTATGTGGTGATCTCCTATCCACGGCAAGTCTTCTAATTTGAAGACGCGGCGCCATTTATGCTCATAATTTGTAACACGTGGGTCTCGACTCCCTAACAGCTCACGAGGGAGTTCCAACATGACTGTTTTGTTTGATGATAAAAGAGGGAAAAGATAGCATCACAGGGAGTGTACTCCTACATACAGGGGAAGTGTCAGGATAGGATTTAGTAAGTTACATGTTCTGTAGTTTCATGCCAGGGCTGAGGATAAGGATAAGTTGGTAGCGGCCAATGACCACACTGGAAATCTTTCGGAGGGAGAGGATCAAACTTAGTTAGGCAGCTGACTGCTCCTATTCTTTGTCTTCCGAATGGTTCGGATACACCCGGTGAAACGTCTCCTCTGTGACCCTATGTGCAGCAGCAACAGCCAGGCCACCATGAATGCCACTATTACTAACATCAACTTACTTCTACTTCATTCGCATACCCAGAAGTACCCTGCTGGATATTATCGTGCAGGTAAAACGATTATGGAAAAATATCTTCTACATTGTAGAGGCACCTATGTTTCCAAACTGCCCTTAGTACTTGAGTCAACTCTGATATAACCATTTTATGTACACATTCTCCTTCACTATCATGAATCAAGCGACAACCGCAGTTGCATCCTTTTTTGGGGGATACTTCTGAGCCATATAAGTCAGATCGCCCTTCACAACATATCCAATGTGGCTCAGTGCGAGAAGTTCCTTCATCTGCGGGCTAAGCTTCTCTTGGAGCTCCTTTGGCAGCTTTGCTGACCAGTTCGTCAGAGGACGCATGTGAGGCGCGGAGTAATAGGCAAAAAGAATGGCACGATCCTCGTCCTTAGTAATGTTGGATCCAGAGGTATGCCACAGGCGCCCATCAATAACAACAATATCGCCCGCATCAGCTTCAAATGGGACCAGCAAATCCGGTGCGTTATCGGGCACATCCTCCCAGGTGGTCCACTTATTTGAACCGGGGATATACAAGGTCGCTCCATTATCCTTGGTCGTCCTAGTCAGGCACCAAATCACGTTGACTGCCCAGATATCCAACCACGGCGGTGGAAGAACGATGCTCTGGTCAGAGTGTAGAGCCATGCTCTCTGCACCAGGACGAGCAATGTTGGCAGAGAAGTTGCTGACCAGCAGTTGGTCGCCCAGCAAGGACTTGGCCAAGTCTAACCCGGTCGGGTTGATGAGCATTTCTCTCCAGTATGCGTCCAACTCTGGGAGGTAAAAGATGCGGACGTTGGCAGGGTTGGGATCCAAGATAGGCTGGAAAGTCGCTTCACCACTAGCCTCGATGGCAGCTTTCGCACTCCAGAGACGGTCAAGTGCATCTTGAGCTTCCTCTTTGGAGAGAACCGAAGGAATCTTGACCCAGCCATGCTCTTTGAGATGAGCCTTAGCCTCTTCCATGTTTAATGTCAAGGTACCGAGGATGTTCCGAGATTGTTGGTGGTTCCAGGGGCCAGCGATGCATTGTCACTCTTCATCTCTCAGGGCATTCATTGACTAGCTAATACTAATATCGTGTCCACTCTTCATTTTCCAGGCTTTCGGCAAGTTTCATGCATGCTTCCGACAATTTCGCATACTGACTTGATGAAGCGGCAAGGGTCAATGCGGTCAGCTACGGAAGGAAACAGGACCGAAGCCCTCGGTCGAAGACACAGCACTAGAATACCACTGACAGCCTGATCGGGTAAACAAAATAAAAAAAGGAGAGAATTTGGAGAGAGAGCCAATTGGATTTGAATATATAACCGCATTCGAAAGATACATCTAGGCATCACAAGGCCTTTCTATCCCTCATTTATATCACTAGGGGTTTACTGCTTGACAGCAAATATAGCCTGGTAAACACTCATCAAAAGAGCTAAAATATGACACAAAGGGGCCTTGATGTTCAATA